TAATAACATTCACAAACTCACCTTAAAAGATGAAGATGCTATCTCTGATATTATAGCAAAGGTTAACAAGGAACAACATGAAATGTTAAAGAAATTAGTGTCAGATCTGCAAGAAGTTAAGTCAGATGTGACGAAATTAAAGCAAAATTGAAACCGACAAGCAATGACGCCCGAAATTCGTCTTATTACTTAAAAAAAGCACGTGGGACCTTAATGATTATACGAGAGTCCTTTGAAACCAATTGCTAAATATCGGAAACTTTCACTGAACTGTGCTAAGATAACCTTCAGGTTCATAAAACTTCATCCATAATAACAGGGTATGAAAACACTGACCTTGAGAAGGTAAGCTTAGGATGACTTTATAAAAAATTTTAAAATGGAAGAACTTTTGGAGAACCTCAAATCAAATATGCTAGAATTCGAAACAGTGTTCAAACCTAACGAAGGTGCTACAAAGTAGGAGTTTTGCTTGTAAAATGCTGCACGGTATACTATGAAGCACATGCTTAAATGTAACTTAAAATAGAATCCATAATCAAATTTTAATGATTATTTAAAGAAATTTGATCTTCTGAAGTTAGATTTGTTAACGTATTTCAAGGTTTAGAACAATGGGTGTCTTGATAGGAATATAAGAAACCATGAATGAAAATCATTTTCAAAAACTTTTTTGACTGCTGTCAATTTTATTTTTAAATTGACAATTTCTACAACTTTTTAGCAATGATAACGTATAAGAATGAAGGTAGCAGCAATAGTAGTCCTGTTTGGTGTTTTAAATCTCTCACCATCTCTTATTGGTTATCTTAAATTCCGTAGGTTTTCTGTGCAATGTTACTTTTGTACACTACAATAACATAATCTTTGTTCATGTTTAATATTTTGTACAGTTGATGTTGTTTTTAGGATAATAAACAAAATATAGCTTGGTATAAGACTTATAAGATCATGTTAAAGTTACAAGAACAACAGGTCTGAATCATTTAAGAAAGCCTGATTTTGTAACATGAGAAGTGCAGGAAAGTTTCGTGTGTGATTTAAATGATTGTATATCAATTTTCTGTGTTATGTATTGATGTATTTGCCACTTCGTTGCCAACTGTTTGCAAGTGTCGGCCGTATAGCTAATAATCTAATACATAATTATTGAATTAATTAATAAATTTTTCAGACACTTATTTCAGACTTTACTTTTCAGATTGTGGCAATGCATTTTGTTTATTATTTTCGTGTTAAATGTAACACTGCATATAAATTAAATGTATTAAGTAAGCAACGTTTAGCTTAAGATTGATAAAGTTCTCATTGTAAAATATAAATGTATATTAACAATCTTGCATAAGAGAAATGCGAGGTCACATTTGTGAACTTTCTTTCTGGAAATCTTCATTCAAAGTAATTGTACATTTATTTCAACATTAAGTAAGTCATACATGTAGTGTGTATAACATAATCAATCTAAAATCAACAACAACCAATAAGAATCTATAAAGAAGGCATAAAACACGTAATTCAAGTGGTGGATTAAGGTAGAACCTATGTCGGAGAAGTCTTTGTCACAAGATTTTCAAACTTTTCATAATGATAAATTAGCACCCGCTTATCAATCAGTCAAAAGCTTGTGACATGTTTCCTTGTTATTAAATGTAGTCCAGGCAGTTAAACATGGAATGATAATTACATATTACGACTTCACAATTTCAGTCATTTTCAGGGGTACTTGTCATGCAAAGAAGACAAAAAATCAAAAAATTACTTCTTTAAACATCGTTGTTTTTATTGTTTATTAATTGAACAGTATCAAACAATATTTCCCGAGAATAAATTCTTTTTTTATTAAATTGACATAAAAGATAAGTCCATTTTTAAAAACTATAGGCAAATGAACTCTATTTATTTTCAGTCAATTTTCCACCCTACATTTGTAAATATTTTTCAGAAGTCTTTGTCACAATGTTTTCAATTTTTAATATGATAAAGAACATACCCAAATGATTACAAAAAGTGATTAAAATATATACCTTTCCCCTCTTACAAAAGAGAGATAGGTAATTTATATTCTTTACCTTTTTGCACTTACACGGGATTTAATTATTAAATGACTGTTTGGGGTTACTTTCAGATTAAAATGTTTATCAAAAATTGTACTTTTAATTTGAAACGATCATATGTAATAGAAAAATTGTAAATTTGTAATCAATTGTAACCAAACTCCAAGAATATGAATAAGTAACAAACAGTTATGAAAAGGAATGCACATCATTTCATGATAAATATCACAAAATGTTCACACGATCACAGGATCTACAACATGTACATATTTGACTTAGACACATTTCATCAACATATTACAACTATTTAGTTAGCAACTGAAGAATGTTTTAGGATTTTTGCATGCCTTCAAAATAGTTACATGTACATACCATTTACATTATTACAGTAACTTGTATACATTGTTATTATATTACACAAGATGGTCTTGAATTTGTTGACTTAATTAAGGTCAAGATCTATTAATTGAAAGGTGCCTACAGGTTTCTCTAATTCAAAAAAACATATTTCATTAAGCATTATAACAAAAGAAAATTGAATTAAGATTATTTCGGCATAATTTTAAATTGAATTCTGTGAATATATTTTCCACCATTTCTATTGAAGCTGTAAAGTACGGGAAAAAGTGACATTGAATCAATTATGACGTCATAATGGATCTAGCACTGGCTAAACACTTCACTAGTTATGATGTCATACGACGTAGGTTCTACGTTAAGGGTTTTAGGGGATCTAAGCATCTCCTAACTAGCGGTTACACCTGCCATAAGCGCTATATAGTTATCGGTAGACTAAAAACATCTGTCGTCAAAAATACAAAACTTAAAAAATTAAGTAGACCAAAATGTGTCCAAAATATAGGTTATTGATTTGATTACAAAGTCATACAATTAACAACTTGGAATTTATAAAATACTGACCCAATGTTGCATAAACTTATCTGTCAGAAACTTCCTTTGTTTAAAAAATGATCTTATTCTGAGCATGCACTTTAAGTTGGAAGACATTAACATTATATGTAGGTGCCTGATGGTAGAGTATCACTTCATTATTCCAAATAATCTGCAGACGGATAAGCTGAAGTCTTGTCGTACATCATAAAGTTTATTAGTTACTGTAATAAATTAAATTTAACTCTAGTTAACATTTGTTAGTACTTTGATTTGAAAGGAAACTTTATTCAAAAACTTTGATAGAGAATTTATATTCATCGCTCTACTGGTAAAAGCTATAGAAGAGCATATGCGATAATAAGGTTTCAGATTGCCTGTCTTTCTACAAATGCACACAAATAGACAAGTAAAAGTGCAGAACTCTATCAATTTATTTTTTCATTACGATGAAAAATTTTGCAATGCTTGCTAAAAAAAAGAAATTTCTGTAAAATACATTTGGAACGCTTCTTCTTATACAATTTTGGTCTAATTTTAATATGAAATGAAAAACAAATAAATTACTCTATTTATAATTCTTTTAAACAGTTTTTTTTATATCGAAGAACAATGTTGCCATGGTTACTTACAATAGAGTTTTCTGTGAAACACCTGTCCTTGTACAGTTATGGTCTGATTCCAATTTAACTCGGCTTACAAGTATAATAAAGGTGCGCAGTTAATCCCCATAAAACTTCCAACACGTTGTTTTGAGAACCCGTCTCCGCTACTACGGTAAAACACGGTTACAGCAAAAAATCTTATAATAACTTGTACACTAATATCTTGTGGTTATTTTTTTTAGGAAATCATGAAAAAAAATGTTTATAAACGTAATATTGTATAATTGTTTAAAAGTCGACAGGTAGACAAATATGAATATTTAAAATATGAATATGTTTTTCGATACCATGGCTAGTCATAAAACAATATTTGCTGCCAAATGTAGTATCACGATAGTATCTGACAGGATGCCAATACTATCATCGTGTATTTTGAAGTTATATAGTACTTTTGTAGACAATCATGCTACCTGTATTATGTCTGGTTGACAGGTCGACAAGTCGATAGGTTGATATCACCTTTTTGGCGTATTTCGATGTCATGAAGGTACATTTTTTCTAAAAATAGATTTATTTCCGATAACATCAAAAAATATTTAGGTAAAATTCCACTGAAGCCCTCAGTTCATACCTTATCTGGGGTGCCAGGAGCTTCCTTGATCGGTTTTATTTTTCAATTTTTAATTTACAGGATTGTATACAATACATACAGTAGATTAAAATAAAGAACATTTGTTGATAAACGTATTATTATATGTGAATAGCAGGTCGACAGGTTGAGATTACTATCTCTAGATCTGGGTACCGGTATTTTGAAATCATAAACGTACACGTATATTTGTTGATAAATGTGCTTATATCTGCAGTCTATAGGTCGACAGATTTACACATGCTTTTTTCTCATTGGGAATATAAAATTGTATGATTTTATTTCGTAGAACATATCAAGTACGTTGTGCCTTTTAACTCGTGTATAATATCAGACGCCTCTTCTGATATCTGCAAATACTACAAAAAGGTACTCTATATATTACATGTGAAAGAAATCAACGTAGTACGATTTAACATAATTATTGTACAATTATCTAAGAGCAATATTCAATTCGGCCCTTTACTTGATTTATGTTAATCACAAATCGCCACAGTATACTAGCCTGGTCCCCTGTCTGATCCTTGCCAAGGCAAGTGACGCGGGGTATACGAAGCAAAACAGGGACATGGAACCAAGCTACACAGTATACCAGACTGATCGGAAGTACCTCACGGGGGTCCGCCGAATTCATTTTAAATTTACTTTTTTCAGCATTAAAATGTGAAAGATTTTTTTTTCAAAATAGTACTTAGTAATGCTAACTTTTTTGGCTTTCATATTTATTCATTGGCCATATTTGCAGACCTAACAGTTTTTAGATTTAAGCGTACTTCATTTTATAGCTTAATAACACACAAACTAAAATGAAATTGGTCTGAAGACTTGTAAATGGACACGATCCAGATAGTTTATAGACTTTCGGTGTCACTCATCTGCTCCAATAAAATCATTTATAACTCGTGGCACATGCAAGTCGAAACCATTGATGGTCAAGGTTCTGCAATCTTTGGGGTCTCCAATAGTGACTTTAGAGGACACCATATTACAGACTACAAGTTTAGGTTTGTTTTGTCTAGATGTTCCCACTGCGTCGCAATAAATTTTAAACGCATCTGATGGATGGACATTTTCTGATGAGGACCATTCAGAATTTGTTAGAACGATAAAAGCGTCGTAATGATATTTCCTGTTTTCCAGGGCGTACTTGAATGCTAGAGATCCATCAGTCGCTGAAGATTCTTGTAATATTTCGTAAATATCATCATGACATTGGGAAGAATCGACGGGCAAAGCCAAGCCACTCTTTGTAAATACAATAACCTCACAGCTTGGTTCGATTTGTTTCATTATTTTTATCATGGTCATCGCAGCATCTAAAGTCTGAAGTGATTGCATTCCTCTAACATAAATTGGTAACGTATCCTCCAGAGATCTTCCTACTTCCACTGACAACAAGATATTCTTCTTTGTGGGGGTATATCTACGACAAGCGACGATAAAGCCTTTCTCCAGAGCCTCGACAACTCCTTGTGAAACTGTCCAGGTGAGAGCTGTCCTGCTCTTTCTATTTATTGAAAGTGTTCTTTCTCTGCTTTTTCCAGTTTTGTATTGGTTGAGTGCAATCTGAAATGTGATTGGGTGTACATTCGCCTTGCTTATCAACTCCGTATCTTTAAGTTTGTCCAGGACCAAATTTTCCTCAAACGAGTCGTGTTCTTCAAAGCATCCTAACTTTGACATTTTCCCTAAATTACGGATCATAGCGGTCATTGGCATATGGCGGATAAGGGCCTTCCAAACTTCTTTATCATTCAAAAAGCGATTGGAAATGTGTTCTCTGGTTAATTTGTGCTTCAAAATTAGTTGACGAACTTGTCCTGCATTTTGTGATTTCCTTGCTTCTTCAACCCGATCGATAAAAGATTTCACCTTCGCCAACGCTGATGATCCATAATCTTCTTTCTTTTGTTCAGCAATGGTAAAAGCATCATCGTCAGCAAATTTTTTACCCTTTGTACCAAGCATAATAAGATACTTCAAAGCAGGGTTGTTTTTTTTAACATTCAAGCGAGGGTAATTTTTATTTACTTTGATATGGGCACGACGAAGGACACTTCTATGAGTCCAGCCGCTTCGTTTTCCATATTTGGTCAAATGAGAAGCCAGACGACACAGAGTGCGTTCTTCTGCTCCATGTCGTATGTACCAGTCGTTTATGGCTTGTCGATGTGCTCTCCCCCACCCAGAAGTTTTATCTATCTGGTTATTGATTTCCTGGCAATTCTTGATAAATCTAAATAAATGTGTTGGGATTCTGCAAACAGATGGAAGAGAATCGTAAGCTTCACGTTTCGTGTCTAGATCGGAAGACCTGCAGCATATGGCCAGAGCAAATATTGGGTATTCTTGCTTGTAAGCGAGATTTCTTTCACAAAATTGTTTGATTATTTTTACTGCCTGCTTGCCTGATCCCTTTTTGATTAATCTGTAAATAACAATAATAACAGAATCAATCATAGCAATTGTAACAAGAGGCCCACTGGCTTTATAGGTCACCTGAGTATCCAGTAACAACTTTCCAACAATTGAATTTGATTCGTGTTTTAAACCAGAGGCCATGAAATTCACAATTTTGAAAGAGGCACCATTGCTTATCATTATTATACACTAAGCATGCTTACTTTTGGTTACTTAATACCCAGTAGAAGACAAGAAGTAGATCAGAGTAAAGAAAATGCACTTTCACTTTATTAACAGTTGTGCGCAATATTAAATGTCTTACTTGGCCATCACAATCTCCACATATCAATGTACTTGAAAAGCGTGAAGAACCATAAAAATACGTCTTCAGAGACAGGCACACAATATTCATAATCGTGAAGACCTCATCTTGAAAGTAAAGGAATTATGGCGGTCCTTGCCTCAGCACTACATTCAGAACCTGTACGCTTCAATTCCAAGGCGAATTCGACAAGTTATTAAATCTAAGAGTCATGCAACTAAATACTAGAGATGAAAGGGTAAGTGATTAATATTTATATAGATTTTTTTTTTATTTTTGAATTTTGTGTTCACGTTACGTTACGTCAGCCATTTTATGACATACTTATGGCCAGGTACTGTAGATCAGAGAAACGAAGAGGAAATGCATTCCCACTTTGTTACCAGTTGTGTACCCCATCGCACAGGAACCACTGACCCTGGGGCCACATATTTCAAAATTCTGGAAATTTTATCATGAATTTTATTTCATCATACATAGTTCATGTTGTTGATTATTACCAAAGTGCAGATTTCAAATCATTATTTTCAGACTATGCACCCCCTCCAAATATCCCTGACCCAGGGGTCCAGAAATTAACCATTTTGGAAGAGGCAGCTTTCTTCCTCTTAAATATGTACTAAGATCATTGGCATGATTCCCAGGAGCAAAAGAAAATATTTTCAAAAAATTCATGCATCTTTATTATATACACATTAGATCCTCGCCCTAACATAAAAAGCACTCACCCAGGGGTCCTGAAATTCACAAATCTCAAAGAGGCATCTTTCTCGCCCTTTTGGAAGAGGCAGCTTTCTCCGTTATAAATATGTACTTAGATAATTGACATGAAACCCAGGAGCAAAACAAAATATTTTCAAAGAATTCATGTATCTTTATTATAATAGTATACACATTAGAGCCCTGTCTTAACACATAAAGCCTGAGCCTGAGTAAACTCGGTGACCTAAAAACTAATATTTTAAAAAAAACCAGAATCTCTCTCTCTCTCTCTCTCTCTCTCTCTCTCTCTGTCTTGATTTATAATTTTCAGAAAAGTACATCGTTGTACATTTGCTACCTTTTTATTGCTATTTATATCAACACTTCCACCTTCCTTACAATAGAAGATCACAAAAGACTCGTGTAGATCTGGCTTTTTAAAAATAGACTAAACATTGTAATACGTTTATCTCTTAGGCAATGAAAAATATGTCCAGCCAAACAGTTTAATAGAAACCACTAGAAGCAAAAAATCTGAGATGTACTTTGAAAAAAATTCTATGATGAAATGTAGTGAAATAAATTTATTGGTTATTCAAAGGATTAACATTATTTGCCTATATATAAATAAATTTAGTTTTCTACTACTGCTGACACCCCCCCCCCCCTCACCTTTTTTTTTAATATAAAATAAGTTTCACGGTTACAAGTAAACTTTTTACTGTTGTAAAAGAATGGAATTATTAAGAAATTCACCGTGTACATGTTAATATGTTTGTATGTTTGGCTTATATATATAGTTTGCCTTGTATGCTTGTGAAAGCCGATAAAAAACTACTACCCGTTATAAGATAATAAAAAAATCAAAAACTAGTACTACTTCATTTATATTAATAGTATTAAATATAAACACTTATGTTCAGCAACACTTACTCTGTGACACACTCTGCGTCTTGTAACTTTATCCTGTGATATTCAGCTGTATACAGTTTCCCTCTATGTCCAAATTGGAGAAAATGGACCAAGTCTGTTTCCAGTCCTGTTTGAAATACGAATTTCCCTGCTTTGTTAAGGACCTGCTCCTGGTGTGGGATGGCAGTGCCATGGTCGTGATATTCTCGCTGCTGTATTGGCATAACTTCACTCTCTTCAACCTCCATTTCTTCTTCCTTGTTCGCCATTTTGATAATAATAGATTGACCCGGCTTAGCTACTTTCGTTTTATGTGACTATAGCTTATTGAAGTCCTTAAGAGATATATATTAAATATATTTAGTCTGAGGGCCTTTGATGTTACGTTGCTGAGTTTAATTTGTAATAACGATCAAATGAATTCTCAGGTACAGACTGCATTGATGCACTTTAATTATGCATTTAGTTTCTGGACAGATGATCGAGCCGTATTTTGTGGTATACATATATCTTGAAAATAACAATGCAAGTTGAGTACTCATTTTTTATTTATATTCAGTGTAATTTTCCTTATGAAATCCATTAGAAATCCATGACGTTCAAATTTCTATAACACACGCGAAACCTTAATGTCACCGCGCGTTAGAATAGAATACACCGTACGTAGGCACTATATGCATTTTCAATACCAAAATGTGAAATGTTTTATTTCAATTTAATGGAAAACTATAACCCTAAAAAATTAACTTAAAAATCAACGTAATGTTCGTTACGAATTAATTTGTCACTTTTTTCCTCGCAATGTTTGTTAACGTTATTTAACTTTGCAACGTCATTGGACGTCAAAAACGGCTCTTACATCTATTGATCACAGCAGTTTTGAAGGGCGCTAAATTCACATTTAAGATTAACGAAATAAGCAATTATGAAGAAGGAAAATTAGAGAATGTAAATCTAAGTATTGAATTCATATTTATGGATGGTTATGGTCCTATATCAACACACCTGGCCGTGCCGACAAATTATCATACCGCACTAACGCGCGGTATCCAATTTGTCGGCAAGGCCAGGTTTGTTATAGGACCGAAGACAGTCAAAAATATGAATGGAATGCTTATATAAGTAAAATGAATAAACTTTTATAACCAAATAGATTTTCATTTTTTTTTAAAGGGTCAAAATAACTGGATTTAATGAAACAAACCACTGTATTTTACACAGTAATTTAATAGAGATGGTTGCAGAAAGGTGGAATTTTGAGCATTAGAAACGTATGAAAATAACGAACAGTATTCAAGATCAAGAATCCATAAAACAAAAAAAAATTGAAACAGAGCAAACACGGACCTCCGAAACATCTGCATGAGGTGGGATCAGGTACCGTGGAGGAGTGAGCATCCCCTGTCGACCGATCGCAATCCTGTGTACTCCTTGCAGGCGCGTAGCCAGCATTGAAATGAAGTGTACGCAGGAAATGGTCGGGGGTCTGGGGGCCGCCCTGAGGCCCCCAGTGGGTCCAGGGCGAAGCCCTGGTGGGGGGGCCAGGGGGCGAAGCCCCCGGAAGCTCCTGGATTTTACGAAATTTTTCAGTCATTTTCCTTTTAAAGAAATCACGCTACATCTCTTTTCTCAAGCAAACACTTAGCTAAGTTATACTTCCATGGATACTTCAGGAAGAGAAGGATAATTTGATCAAATTAATTTACGAATATATTGGTATTGGAAAAAAAGTTTCCAAGTGTGACAAGATAAAACAGAGAAGTAATTTAATATGTTATCATTGGAGTAAAAGTATTTCAAAAAATTAACGAGGGTGTGGGTCTTTTGAAAACCTTTATATTCTGATAGCTTAAACAATGTGAGAGTACTTAAATTCTATAAATTGGTAACATCAGTAAAAGAAGATATTCAAATGATCTATATTTTTTACTTTGTTCAGTAATTTGAATTTTGCCATCTTTTTTTTTAAATTTTTTTTTTTTGTTTATCGATATTAATTCATTACTTCAACGGAAATTCTTGTATAGTCGTCCGAGACCCTTGTAACTTTTTCTTTAGATCAATGTCACTTAGATCGCTTTCCTTCATCAAATACATGTATTTGTCCGAATAATCAGGATTACGCAGATTAACAGTTGAAAATGTTGGTTCAACAATATTTTCTTACTCAAGAAGTGTGGAATTCATTCCATAAAAGACTGGATTTTAACGATATTCTGAACAAAAAAAAATTGAATAGAAACAGTAAGACGTAAAATAATTTGCAAGACAAATACTGCCCCTTTTTCTCCGAATAAATATCTCTCTTTTTTAAAATCTTTTTTCTGTCTTTTCTTTTCTTTTTCTTTCTTTCTTTCTTTCTTTTTTTTTTTTTTTTTTGAAAATGATGTGTACGCACTTGCGTACTTGCGTATAGGCAGCTACGCGCCTGCCTTGTCTAGGTGGAATGTTATATCGTTAAAATAATAAATGTCCTACAGACCCGGTAAGGGCTTGTCCTGAGACATAGATTATACTAACTACTTGTCATGGTCGGGAACTGAAGAAAAAATCCTTCGTCAATTCGGTGTATAAAGAACGGATCAACAAATAGTATGAGAAACGTCGGTCAGCATTTGACTCAATGATAACTAAAACTATTTACAACCAAAAAAGGTAAAAATATATGTATTTACTAATCAATGCATCCAAATCTTTTTTGTATCATATGTCTTTAATCACATATGATTAATAATAATCAAAAAATTTAATTAATTAATTGGATTACATTAACAAATTCGGAATCCTTTGGCAAAAGTGAGACGGAGATCAAAAGTGAGCTCATCTAAGTTTTATGACCCCCATGACAGGTCTCCAAAAAAACATATAGCATAAATTAGAAACTTGAACATCTTTTTTTAGGCGGAAGCCGCCTTTTACTTTTGCATGCTTTGTTGACCTTTCGACCTCTCAAGATGTTTGCCCCGCTTCATGGTACTCCAAACGGATGTATCTTAAACTAAGGGCATACGAAGCCGCCTTTTACTTTTGCATGCTTTGTTGACCTTTCGACCTCTCAAGATGTTTGCCCCGCTTCATGGTACTCCAAACGGATGTATCTTAAACTAAGGGCATACAACCCGCTTAATCATATTCGACCCCTTCCCAATCTTTATCGTTATTATCATATCAAAAAGCGTGTGTTATGGCAAATTTATTTTAACTATTCATTTTGATTTATGTAAAAAAGTCCAATAAAAATAATAGCCTAATAATAGAACGAATAGTTACTTTGTTACTGCTGATACGTTTCACGTTTGAGAGAAGAACGAACGACAACTCTGTATGTCTAAAACAAAAACAAATCGGGTTCCACATTTGATTAGCACGGGGTACTGAAGCGATCTTTAGAAATACTACGAGGGACAAAATAGTTCAAGTAGGTAATTATGTTTAGAATTAATGACAGGAACATAGCTACTGAGGAACTTATCTTTTCCATAATCTTGTATAAAATAGAAGAAAAGAGGTATGCAACTCTTTTTATCAATTGTGTACTACATTCGCGTACAATAATCTAACATATAGACGATTCAGCGTGAAATTATTGTCAACAAACCCACGTGGAGCACAAATGATTTACAATGATTGACTGGAAGTGACAGGCCTTCTCTTCAAAATAAACAAGGTAACTCACGCTGTGTGATTAGCCTATCCTTTATTGTCACCCTTATCTTTGATTGTTTTAACCTGAAAATGTCGTCTCCCTATGCAGGCATGCTTTAGACATGTTAGATATCGTAATATGATAGCTGTTATGGTCGGGTCTTATCGAACGAACTGGTACTCTAATTACCATGATTACATGCCAGGGAGAAATTATTTGAGGAATTATCATGCCGAGTTTGTGTATACATTTATATATCCTTTCTATTTAATGTTAATACATGTATGTTGAAGGATGGGCCAAAACTGTAAAATCTGGACAGAAATTAAAACGCAAGCATAAGAACTACACTGTATTGTGTTTTGTATAGATGTGTCCTTGCTGCGGAGGCAGCTAACAGAAAGGGGATATAATTAAGATTGCATTGTGGAATTGCCCTGTGCCACCTCTAAATGGCAGAAGAAAACTCAACTCAGCACAACCAGAAACACTTTTCTGAAGGTGAGTACATCAATTTTATTATATTTCTAGATAAGTGGAAAAAAATTTCATAACTAATGATACATATTTTTATAGCATAACAAATCTTCTTGTCTTGATGGCAAAACTGAACCGAATACTATTTTTGAAAGTATATTTTGACTTTTCTAATTTTTTGTTGACTTATTTTCTTTTCATTTTTTCTAAATACATGCAAATACATGATTACTTATAATATAGGCTTTTGAAAGAGAAAACAAATACAAAAAAAATATTAGAGAAGTCAAATCGGTCAATATTTATCATGTTTAATAATCGCTTACTCGATATCTGACTTTTTCATTACATGTACAGATAATTATGAATTCCATTGGAAATAATTTTTGGTACTAAAATTAGTTATCAAATAAAACACAAATGCACAATACACCCAAAATTACAAAAGGTTGTTTTAATTGGATCTATTTGAAAAACTGCTGTGTACACATGTAGGTTATACATGTGTATAACTAGCGAAAGAGAGGGGACAGATGTTGTCGGTCAGGATCATATTTCATTTGTTGGTTGTTTCCAGTATATTTACACTAAACTTACTACACAAGTTCACTTTCCGCAGTTTTGAATCTTTTGTTATATCTATATACCCACTTCACTCTGGAAGTGGGTATATAAGTGGCATTAATTTCTTTGCATGTCAGATTTCACTGAATGAATGAATGTAGATCAAGGCGATAACGGGTGTTTTACAGCTAGGTGTAGATGAAGACATAATTACCATTTGCATGTTTTAGTTATAATTGATAAGTTTCTGATAAAAATGTGTACCTTGAAAAAAGAAATAATATACATCCGAGTAAACGAGTAACTTTTTTTAGTATTCGATACTTTGACCTTGGATCGAGTACCCGGTAAAGTTCACTTCCCTAGAAAATATATTAAAATAACCGGTATATCATAAAAGGTTATTTGAAGTCCTTGATTTCATTTATTGAAAGTCAGATACATAATGTGAAATAATTTTTGTTAAATAAACATTGTGAGATATTCTTAATTTTTTTCAATTATACACTTTGTAGAAAATTCTGCCAAGAGACAGTTGTGAAGGGAATCATGTAGATAATCTCCAGAAAAAGAAATTACCACTGATATTGGGATGTTTGTAC